AAAAAAAAAAAAAAAAAAAAAAAAGGTGTTCATATTTGGATGAAAGATCATAAGGTCCAAGGAAGAAAGCAGAAAGCACAGCACCTCAGTTCTGACCTTCCCTGTCCAGGTTCTAGTCTTGCCCTGTCTACACTGTGCTTCCTGTGAGACTGCCTGTTTTATTTTAACAATCCAGACTTTCATTTATCCTTCTCTGAGTGGGCATAAAAACACTTAGCAAATTCCTCTGGAACGAGACACTTAGGGATCAAAGAAACAACTAGCTTAATAAATTATCTGCCCATCTTACTAAAGAGGTTTATCCTCATTCCCAAATTACCTTTGAAAAAAACTTGGTGGCCAGGCTCGGTGGCTCGGCCTGTAATCCCAGCACTTTGGGAGGCCAAGGCAAGTGGATTGCCTGAGCGCATGGGTTTGAGACCAGCCCGGCAACTTGGCGAGACCTCACCTCTACAATAAATCAAAAATTAAGCCGGGTTCGGTGGCTCAGCCTGTAATACCACGCCTTTGGGAGGCTGAGGTGATGGATTGCCTGAGCCCCCGGGTTCGAGACCCACATGGGCAGCGAGACCTCATCTCTACAATAAGTCAAAAAATCAGCCAGGCGTGGCAACGCACGCCTGTAATTCCGGCTACTCGGAAGGCTCAGGCAGAAGGATCACTGGAGTCCAGCAGGTCGAGGCTGCAGTGGCCGGGAGCATCCACTGCACTCCAGTCTGGGCGACAGAGTGAGATTCCAACTCAAAAACAAAAATTAACCGGACGTGGTAGTGCGGGCCTGTAGATCTGGTTACTTGGAAGGCTGGCTACTTGGAAGGATCACTGGAGTCCAGCAGTAGATGCTGGGGTGGCTGTAAGCATGCGTGCCACTGCTCTCCAGCCTGGGCAACAGAATGAGACTCCAATTCAAAAGAAAAAAGAAAAAGAAAAAGAAAAAAACTTGGTGATGTGTTTACAGGAGCTTACTAGATTTATTTCACAAACCCAAGAGTAAATAAAGAAAACCACTGGCCAGAATATAAAAGAAATTATTACATACCCTCTATCCAGGAAATGGGTGCCCTATATATTTCCATACAAAGGGTTGACTCTGGGATTCACGGGGACAACAACACATTGTTGGAAGCAATGCAAAGGTTCAGGTGAAGAGTCTGGGATTGCAGACAGCAAATTAAAAAACAAACAAAAACCATGCTTAGCTAGTTACAATTTTATATATATATATATATATATATATATAAAATTATGTGTGTGTGTGTATGTGTGTGTGTGTGTGTGTGTGTGTGTGTGTGTGTGTGTGTGTGTGTGTGTATATAGTGGATGGAGCCCAGACTGGTCTTGAACTCCTGGCCTCAAGTGATCCTCCCATCTCAGACTCCCAAAGTGCCGGGAGCGATTCTTGTAATAGTAAATTCAGTAAATACTTTGAAGTATCTAACATGTATCTGCATTAGAAGAGGTGCTGAGGAGTATACACAAATGTATAGAAGAGGAACTTGAGGAACTCAAGAAACTTAGAGAACACAAATGGACAACCAGAGCATTAAAATAAACCGGGGTTTTGTTGGCCCAACACAAAGCAGTGGACCTAGTTTATAAGTAATGCTCTGACGGATAAGAATAAGTTCTTTAAAAACTCAAAACCTAAAAACAAATGTGAGATAAACTGGTACTTTTTAAAATCTAGAACGACAAATTTGGAGTTGCCCAGAAAATGATCCTTTTCGTTGGGCATTTTATGCAGTCTGAAGGCGGGAATGTTGAATCTCCAAGTCTGCAAATCATTTCATACTTTTCTGGATACCAAAAAGCCCAGAATGGTTTCAAGATCGCTCAGGGCTGGGCAAATTATTAGGAAAAAAGGAAAAAGGCGGATCCGCGCGAAGCTCCAAGGCGCAGCGAGCTCTTGCTGCTTCCCATACCCCC